GAAGAAAGCAATCAGATACACGCAATAAACCTTAAACACTATTATTGCTGAAGCAGTCCATTTTCTTGTATCTTTTTCTCTTTCTTTTGCCTTTTTGTCTTATACTCCACCATCAAGCCTGATAACATAAAATGACTGTGATGGCAGGTGAAATGCTTAAGCTGAGAATTCCTTACGTTTTCCACTTTCTCTTAGAAAACAATGCAGAAAAAAAATATAACGTTTGTCACTGGAAGAGATGAAAAATAATTAAAACTTAGAATTGATCTTGCACCACCTGTTCTTTACATACACTCAGGCTAGAATCTGATATATGGAGAGTAATGAAAAGAAACAGATTCCTTCTGTGGCAGGAAAAAAAAAAAATGACTTCTTTCCCCCCAAGGAGATTGAAATCAATATCTGGAGCAGACTGCTGACAGTATAATAACCACCCATCCTGCTCATGCACAGCGTTGCTCAGTACAACCCACACAGCACCCTTAGGGAAGGTTTGCGGGGGCCTGCACCCTCCACGAGCAGGGAAGGAACATCGTTTTGGGCACCGTGCACTCATGTGGCACGACTCTGCTGCTGCACCAGGTGGTCTTTAGAAAACAAAAATCCCAGCACCTCCTCACTCCTGTCGCTGCACACGGCTGGTCACGATAGCCTGCAAGTGAGACTTCCTCCTGTTAAGCTTGCTGGTCCTCCATCATCACAGAATGGCTTGAGTTAGACCTTAAAGCCCCCCAGCACCAACCCCTGCCATGGGCTGGCTGCCCCCCACCAGCTCAGGCTGTGCAGGGCCCTATCCTCTCAAGTCCTGGAAGGCTGCAGTGAGGTCTCCCATCAGCCTTCTCCTTTCCGTGCTGAACAAACCCAGATCCCTCAACATTTTTTCACAGGAAAGGTGCTCCAGTCCTCTGATCATTTGTGCCCATCTCTAGACCTGCTCCAGCAGCTCCACTTCCCTCTTATTCTAGGGTCCCCAGGCCTGGACACAGCAATCCAGTGGGGCTCATGAAGGCAGAGCAGAGGGGACAACCCCCACCTTCTCCCTGCTGCCACGCGTCTGTTGATGCAGACCAAGACGCAGTTGGCCTTCTGGGCTGCATCAGTGAAGCACCTGCTGAGAGCACCTAACCTTTGCCAGTATGAGAGCCTGGAAACCTCCCAGTCTGGCACTGCCAAAGCTACCACAGATGTCACCACGGGCCCTGGGTCCAAAAAACCACTCCTCTTCCACAAGCTGCATCTTCTTCCAGCGGAGCAAAGAAAATGCTCACACACAGCCATTCACAGACATCACCTCACCTCTGCTCACAGGCTTTCAAACAAAACCACCCCAAACCTGGATCCGTGTAAAATATTTTACATGCATTCAATAAAAACAACATATTGTTTTGAACTTGAAAAAAACTGTGGCGTTCCTCCCTTATCAACAGTTAGCTTTTGCCAGCCTAAAAGATTTTCCTGTCCTTTGCAACATCTACTTGCCATAAAAATAACCTGAATATACTTTCTGCCACTTTGAAATCATTGTATCTGTGGCAGAAGTGCTTTTCACTGGAGTTACAAATGGAACTGCCCTTGGACCAATACAGATGGACCACAGGAGGCTGACGAGCAGAATGTGGGTGCCAAAGCTCCTCGTCTGGTTGACATTTCAATTGTAAAGCTCACCTGAGTTCTGTGAAATTCTCCAGAAAATAAAGGCTTTTAAAGGGAGACTTCTTAAACCTGAAAGCACTTGGATGAAGGCACTTTTTTGGCTTTCTAGTCATAACCTGGTTACTGAGTGCTTCCAGCTAATTCCAGCAACAGTCCATCTCTTTAGCTCGGCTTTGGACATCTGAGTTTAAAAACCAATTTCCAAGTTTATATTTCCACAGAACAGCCAGCATTTCTCTGCAAAAGGCCCAGAAGTGCACCTTTATTTTTCTCTGCAAAATATCAATACATGTTGGAAGCATATTGTTAAAATACATTCCAAATTTATGGCAAGACTATTCTGCAACAGCCCATAAAATGTCATCCGATCCATCCAGCATGGGTTGTTATCAAAGACCAAACATGTTGTATCTGAATTAGGATACTTTACTCCTATTCTGGGGGGGAGGAATTGAATAAAAGGAGTTGGAGCCTCTGAACTAGCTCTTCAGAAGCCACAGTGCTCCCACACGTATTTGTTTGCTTTTCTTCCCAAACAAAAAGAAAACATCTCTTCTAAAGATGCGTACAGAAGATTTGTTAAATCTCTTTTTTTCCCTAAGATGTCTGACCCATCTGCACTTGCAACTGAGAAGTTCAGTTAAAAAATAAATGCAGTTACAATTGCCATGACTCAAGAATAAAGATGTCAGATTTGTCATGAAAGATCTTCCTCCAGAAGTACCTTGTTTCTCTGTAACTACAATGCCGTATCAGAGAAAGTAATTCTTTTGACTATATTTACAGCTGTACCAATGCAACCACTGCACCAACAAATCACAAATGCCTGAGAATGAAACTGCAAAAAATGAAGAGCTCTTTTCAAAGCTTTGGAATATTTAAATCTCCCCAAGATTATGCTTTGAAATCATCTATTTTGGTATATAAACGCCCTTAAAACCTGGTTAAGCAAAGAATGGATGACTTGACAACTACAGAGTAACATCCGCTCTCACCATGAAGATTCTTGAGTAAAACTGGGTTCAGCTATGATGGAAATCAGGCAGAATTCAAACTTTAAATAGGCAGTGACCAAAAGTCTGGCATCAGAGGAAATCATGTATACTGCAAATGATTTGAAAGAAATAAATCCCTACAGTCCATTCACAAGCATCCTTCAACATCACACAGCTCATGTGTGATGGTTATTATAGTTCTTTAAACGTGGCATTCAAACAGGCCAGGATGCAACTACAGAGAAATACCAGTTGAACAGGCTGGGTCTTGCTTGTAAGCTAAATCCCTGGATGCTTCAATACCCTTTCTGTAGTTTCTCATTACAGTAATCTGTTCCTTGATAGTACTTGAGCAAGAACCTGTTCCTGCACTTCTGGACTTGTCCAAAGGAAAATAAACCTATTATTTTCCCAGAAAGACCATCACCCAGCCACAGGTTCAGCAGAGGTACCACTGTGCCACAACAGCTATGTAGGAGTGGCAGAATGATTCCATCCCTTTCCTTTTGCCCACCATCTCTTACACAGCTCCAGTGATCAGAATGAAGCTGTCAAGACTTTCTTGAAACCAGGAACTGTGCTTGGTGCTCAGAACACAGCGACAGGTGAAACTGGTGGAGAGAAATCCCAAGTCAAGTTCAAATAATGTTAGAAGCAGCACAATAAGACGAAACGCTTTAGCCTAATCACAGACAAGAAAATTAATGGCTGTTTCTGTTATTATTCTCTGATGGAAAACCTGTCCTCCAAAGAGTTCAGCAACTTCAGCAGATGACGAGTGAGAGAAACTATCACATCCAATGACTTTATGTAGGGAGACAGAAAGAAGATGGAAATGAAAATGATGGGGGGGACAGCAGGCTTAGAGTAGGACATGCCTGTGTATTCACACATGCTGTACGCTGTCCTGTAGAAAGACTCATCTGTTTGAAACTGAATGCACGGTCATTACAACGTAACAAGAATATTTCTATGCATACGGATAAAGGGGCAGCCAAGTGGCATATGAAAAACATGTACACCTCCCTAGTCAGAAAATAGGTCAGTGATCACCACTTATCCTGCTTTTTAATAAAGGGATTTGTGAATATTCCCTAATCTTATAACAAACACAGATTTTCATTATTCTTTTGTGAACTAGAATGGGCGCATTAAAGTAGTTGGAAAATAATATTTAAAAAAAAAAGGCATCTTAGCTTGTCCTTTTTGTTTTTTTTTTTTCAGGTGCTCCCTAATAATATATAACTTCAAGTTACAGTAGGAAAAAGGGAATAATTGGCACACGCTGTATTTTATTACTGATCTTGGAAAAAGCCACACCAGGTTTTTATGAAACACACACTGCTTCACATTGTTACATTCTTCAGGGTAATCTGGCTTGTTTCATATTTCTGGCAATAGGAAAGAGTGGTGAAATTGCAAAGACTTTGATTCTCCAGTCCTCTGGGCTCCCGCACCCCAGAACGGGATTCACGCCTCCTTGGTAATACACACTATGGAGCTGTGAAGCCACACCAGCTATACAAAAAGGACACTGCAAGCACTCAAATCCCCTACTATACACATCAGCTGGTATTAAAATGAGCACAGTTAAATTGGAGGCCTACCTACAGCTTGTGAAAAATGACACACACCGCTAAACCATCAAGAAACAGACATTTTTTCAAGGCAAACTTTCCAAGGATAACTGACAAAAAATTCCAGCTAGCTTCAAAGCCCCTACCAGTAACTAAGCAGAAATCTAGCTTAGGGTTGGAAAGGGGACCTTGAACTTTTGCTGGTCAGTTAGTGGCTTCCATAGCTCCAGTTCTGGAGACAGCACAGGTCACGGATGGCTCCCATTTATCCAGTGGCTACCAGTGAGTCAGAGAGAGGGGAGAGGCAGTTCTGTGCCACCCCTCACAAGCTGGGATTAGCTTGGTAACACAAAAAGCAAATACCAGATGTAGAACAGAGAGATCAGGTAGCTGATAGTCCAGTAGCTGCTACATGCAGCGAGGCACACAGGTCTAATACGGATCAAAACCACCGTTGTGACACTTACGATCCAGTTTTATGACTGGATTTCTATTTAATGGGAACTGCAGTCCCACTTTAGCCCTTTTCCAAGTGTTCTCAAGCAAAAAAAATGCTGTTTTATTGTACGTCAAATGCATCGTGGATGCTGCTGGAAAACAATTTAACTGAATTAGTTCATGCAAAAAGGGTTACATGAAATAGTGATACATAGTACATCCCTGGTTTATGCCCCATAATCTCTTCCCATTAAGAGGAGACTCTCCTTGGGGAATATGCATTGTTTTACCAGTTTGAATTTCAGCTGATTTTCTGTTTTTTCATCTTTTTGTCCAGATCCATTTTGCATCATGGTGGACTTTCAAACCTCCCATGGCTGAGTGTGTGCCCACTGACATGGAAAGCAACTAACACCACCAGCTCTGAAGGTACCCTACACATTCTTACACCCATAAGAGAAAAGGACTTGCAAGGAAAAGTCTTCATTTCCTTTTCCTCACAAAAAAGGAGAAAGCATCAATTTATTTTCCCTGATCCCAAGACAGCGCGTCAGAAAAAGCTAAAGAAAGTATCTATACCATGACTTAAAAGTGGTACTACCTGCACACAGACTCAGCACAGCATCCCCTCTTACTATGGAGTTTAAATCAATGAGTCTTTCTATGAAATTGAGTAAGCTTTGGATCAGACACATCTTATTCAGGAGCAATATCTGAGCCCGCGTAGAGGAACGTGTTCCACAATGTCTGGAAAGAGCCTTTTACTTACTTAGCACTTGAGCCTTTTAAATCAAGGGCAGGAAAAGGAAAAGTGCCAAGAACAACCCTTTTCTGACATTACCTCCTTTTCTTTAATGTTGCATATTTTAATACTAGGTAGAACAGATGGTGAAATACAAGCTCTCCACTGAGAACTAAATGACAGTATCTAGCTGTAGGGGACAGTAAAGTATTAAAGAGAAGGAAATGCACAAATAATGAAAGTACATTTTGTCCAACTTGCTTTTGATGAGACATAAAATAAAATGTAAATAATTTCTATTAGGAGGAAATTAACATAATGACTTTGGTATTTGCAATCAGAGTGAGCTTGTATTATATAACCTGGATTTGTAATTGAAGTAGAGCAACACCATTTACCTGGATCTGAAGTAAGAATTACACGAATTCTGTTTTCACCATCAGTAATACAACACAAAACCAATACTATTAGCATGACTGATAATAAAGAAATGTGATTAGTCTCAACTTGGATTGGCAATAAAAAAAAGCAGCAGAAATGCTCCTCAGCTGTACGTGAACAAAGAGGTTCTATTAACCTGAGTTTGCAGTAAAGAAAAGCGTCAATAAAACTAACACGGGTTTGCAATTAAGCTGGTGTCAATGTGGCTGGGAAAAGAAGTTCATAATTAGGACAACAGTGTTAGTATTGACTTGAATTTTCACTAAAAATCATGGCTGGGTTTTAATTTGGAACTGTAAAATTCATCTCCATGCTTTACAGAAGGCGACTGTATAATTATCAACTTGCAGTTACTTTACAATTAGAATTACTTCCATAATGTGTTCTTTTTTATATAACCATGTGTGTGTTATAAATGGGCTCCCAGAAGAGTATCCAACACAGAAAATTAAACTTCCAAGTTTCTTTACAAAGGCATTAGTAAGGATTTAAATGCTTTACCCTCAGAAAAAAAATGACTGCTTCAGCAAGACCTTGTACTTCCGCTCCAGATATTGGTTTCCTTATTAGAATTACTAGTTTTAGTTAATTACTAGCTACATCTCTATTAATGGTCTCACAAATCATTTTGTGCCCATTTGTTGTAAATACTCTCAATGCTTCTAGTGAACATGATCAAGAGAGTACTTAAATGGACGTAAACGGGTTGTTTAATCAGCCTTGGGCACATTAATACAGAAAGCCAACAACATGAAGCGTGCTTAAAGTCACTTTGGAATCTGACTATGAACTTTCTTGCACTTACTTTCCTATTTGAGTGCAAGTCTAACACACCAACACAACACCCAAAGATAAGGAAGAAATGCCTTTTTTCTTTTTTTGTAAGAAATTTCTTTTATGTGCTATTTCCATGTTTTCTCACAACAGAAAGGAGAACGTGAGCCCAGCAGAATTCTCTGCCTCATTCTATTTTATTAGTAGACTTACCTCCTCCTTCTTGTACTCCTCCTCCTTCTTTTTCTTTTTCCTCTGCTCTGGGAATCAAAGGTTTCTCTTCTTCTGTTGTGTCTTCTTGGTTCAACAATGGCTCTGAATAAATTTGATAAAAAGATGAACACTATGGCTTTTCAGAACTGACACTGCATAAAAGGATTAACAGATACTAGAGAGATTATCATTAAAAACACTGGAAAAGGATCATTCCCCCCAGGAGGACAGACACAATAACCATCTTGGCGAAATGCAGGGGGCTGCATTTGAGAGCAAGGCCTTGATCCTCTAACGTGCCGAGCTTTCTGGGATTTAGTACAGAAAGCCCCACGTGCCTGACTTCAGTTATGGGCCTTTACCAGGACTCATCAGCAACCCAGAGACACACATACCCAAGCCCTTTGTTGGACTGGGGTCAGAGTGTGCTGTGCTCCAAATGCACAGGACTAAGTGCTTGTCATGAGGAACAGGAAACACTGTTTTCATTTCTCTGTCTAAAAATGGCAGTCATTAACAACTCAGCCTTTCTCACAGAGAAGCCATAGCTACTGCCCTGCTTTGGGTTTGTCTAGTCTGGAGAAGGGGAGGCTCAGGGGAGACTTCATTGCTCTCTGCAACAACCTGAAAGGAGGTTGTGGCAAGCTGAGAGTTGGCCTCTGCTCCCATGTAGCAGTGTTAGGATGAGAGGGGATGGCCTCGCATTGAGCCAGGGGAAGTTCAGGTTGGCTGTGAGGAATAATTTCCTCCCCCAAAGAGTGGTGAGGCAGTGGCACAGTTGCCCAGGGAGTGGTGGGGTCACCTGGAGGTGTCCCAGAGCTGTGGGGATGTGGCACTGAGGGACAATCTTAATGACTGTATGATTCCATAAGACTATTTAGCTCCACAGTTTAGCTTTAGTAGGTATTGAGAAGGAAAGGGAATTTAAATGCTATTGGTAATATCTGAGCATTAACTAGCTTTATGCATATGCAGTACCTTCTATTTCCATGCAGGAGCTTTGGGAATCTGCCCCGGTTTTCATCTCCTCCTCCACAGCATCCTCCTGTTGTCCTGTTAACGTGACAAATTGAAAATGACATCAGCACGAGGGCTGTGCACATGCAATGCAGGTTCAGCAGGCACAGCACGAATCTAACAGGCAGCATGGTACTCTTCAGCCACACACTGCTTTCTTCTATTAAATGAACAACATTAGAATTATTTTATATGTGAAAAGACCACTTACTAAGCTTCAAGCGTTAAGTATGTTAAATGCCTGGTCAAAACTGATCCTGAATCAATTTTTTTTTATTCTTTCACAGCTCAGCCTCAGCAAACTGTTTCTCACAGGAGCTGCTGCAAAGCACCCGTGCTTGACAGTCAGCTTATCAGAAGGAACAGAATAATCCCACAGGCTTTTAGAACAACAATGACAGAGGGAAAAAGAAAAAAAGAAAAAAAAAGAGGCAATAACAATGATGCTATGCACTCTGGATCAATGTGGTTATAAACCCGTGCATTTGGAGATGTGCGTCTTTGCCAGCAGTGCCAGAAATTGCTGCACAAACTTGATCTGGCATAGAAACACTGCTAGCTGGAAGCACTTTCCCAAAACAACAGAGGTCAGGCTAAAACCCAGCGGAGCCTGGAAATGGAAGAATCAAGGTTCCCAGCTGGTTTATTACCTGTATTCTCAGGAATTTTCAGAGACAACTTTACCTTGGGCTTGATCTTGCTCACACCCCATAGGATGTGCTGGGTCACTCTCCCTCGTGCCTTTGGAGACTTTCAGGGAGTCTGAGGAAACAGCAAACACACAATCACACGTACTGCAGTGGTTTTAGGCTGGAAAAGTCTGTTTCTTTCCTCAGACACTGGCAGCCTGAGATTTGTACTTGGCATTTTGATACTCAGGCAGCATTTCTAGCTGTTTAACCACAGCCCTGTACACTGCAAATGCGTTCTCGTGGGTCTCAATTATTCAAATTGATTTCAGAATCTGTCCACTTACTGAATAGCTTCTGGCCTGCAGAAAACAAAATAAAACAGAACAAAAAAAACTTTAAAAAAGAGTTGTTGAAAATGAGAAATACAACCAAGACTACTATGAACTGGATGTCACAAAGACACTATGAGAAACAAAATGAACCACCTACTTGATAAATAGACTTCTTTTCCCTTCAGAACAATGTCAGTGCTTTTCAAGGTTGGATTTCCCCAAGGTTGACAAACATTGAGTCTTAAATCCCAGTGCAAATCCCAGCCTCATTGCACCAAATGACAGAATTCCCAAGATCACTGCCGTGGCCAAAACTCCTTTTTGCTTCTGGGGAGTCCAATAAAATTAACTGCCCGAAGCCAAATCCTGAACCAGTGGCACAGTAAGCTTTAAACTAGACATTATAAATCCAATCCCTAAGCTATCTGTGGTCTTCATAAACACAGTACATTATTTCTGTTGCGTCAAACAACATTTTGTGACAACAGCCACTCCTTAGTGATGTATGAAGTGCAAAGATCTACAGCGTATGACAGTCAGTTACTCAATGACAGGCTTGTTACGGCTCTATTTCTAGATCGTCTCTTTCTATAATGCAGCAGAAAGAATCTTACAATATGTAACACCAAAGGATGCTCTGGTAAAACTCTGTTCCTGAAACTTGCCAAGAAAAATCTCCAATGGGTAAATGGGAAAGCTGGGTTGTTAACATCTGATCCAAATTTAATAATCTGTAGAAAAGGTATGCGCTGAAAGTGTGTGCCTTTAATTAACTGCAAATAATCCCCCAAGGCAAATATTTAATTACCTGCACAGCTTCTTACCTCTTTTATGGCATGACAATAAGTTTATAAATCCAAGTTTGAAAGTAGAATATCTCACTGATGTACAAGTTGCTAAAATTTGCTCTTGCTGCACCTTTTTTTCACCCTATTGTGGACTTAAAATGCTCCTTACTGCTATCAACTGTGCTGGACTTTCATACTAGAATGTCCCACTGTGCTGTGAGTTGCAAGGGATTACTGTACCAGCCTGAATTAGAGCAAAAATCAATTAGAATCTCATCAAATTGCAAGTTCAGTCAAAAAATGAGTTGAAGGACCTCTTGGTTTTCCGTGAGAATGGCACTAAAAATCTGAAGGGAATTTGTCAACGTCTAGGACAAACTTTCAACCCATTGACATTCTGGTTTCACTGATGTCTTTGACAAAGTCTTCAGGATAAATAGCAAGTCAAAGTCTGCAGCATTCGCAGTTCATATTCAGAATTACTATAATCATTTATTTGAATGTTTGTAAATGGTAGTGTGCTGACAAAGCTGGAATCAGAAGTCTTCTGTCTTAAGGGCCCTCCCAATAGCCAAAAGTGATAACTAAGTGTGATATTATCTGCTTTGGGTGGGAGGGATGCACAGCTGTCTGTCCCACAAGGTCCTTAAAATTATTTCATCTTACATTGATTGCACAGTACTTCATACTGCCAGACCTGTGCCTTTAACCTCAGTCCACAGGTGCCACCTTTTCTCCCAGAATGAGGAATGGCTCCAATTTCATGCAAAAATCAATCCACAGCATCAGAGGAACAATTACACGCTTTGGTCAATAATAACAAATGGAGCTTAAGGAGCCCTGTGCTTCGCAGATACAAGCTCCCCAGTCACTGTTGTTTGTTGGGAAGCATCGTGTAGCTCATGGCAAACTATACTCACTGGGCAGCATGGGGAGCTCCCTGCATTTCCACCCTATGTCACTGCACTCAGCCAGAGACCACCTATGCCATTGGACACATCTTCAGATGTTCCCACACCTGTCTGCATGCATTTTATTCTTAGGAGGCTGTAAGTTGGTGTTAAGCTTTCATTTTGGATTTAAACAGTTTTCTAATTGTTCCAGGGTTCGAGAAAGCAATTTAGTTGCACAGGATTCAAAATTATTCCAGGCAATACAAAACATTCATTTTGCCCATATTATTTTTTTGTCAAGCGTGCTTCTGAAAAGAGCAGAACACGAACAGGAGTTGCTGCCTCTCTGAAATGAAGCCTCCTGTTCCTACCTCAGCAGCAGAGATCGGCCCTTGCATTAGCATGTAGATTCCGAGCTTCAAAATCTTTAAGGTCAAGATCGTATCAAAGATTTCTTCTTTTCAAATGCTAATAATAGATCAAACATTCAAGCCCAAAGGCCCAAAGATGGATTTACTTTTAGGATTTACAAGAATAAAACAAGGCGAAGGAAGAAATCCAGATTTATGAAGAAAAACTCAGCCAGGCACGAATAAAAACATAAAACTAAATGTGCAGGTAAATAAAAGCTGCTCCCAAATTGGATATGAAACAGGAGCGCAGCATCCATTTCAGTTGGCAAGCAGTGGTGGGAATCCCACTAATGCTGAGCATATACAACTTTCTATCTCCAAGACTTCAGTAGGGTAGAGGTATTCCTCTGGAACAGCTGGTCCTCTATGCTGACTTAGCCCTTTAGAGCCATACAGAACTGGGCATAAGCCAGGATGATAGTCCTAAATGATTCCAGGTCTGCATATGCTCTGGACATCCCCACAGCCTTCATCCATCACTAAACGCCTGGGGAACTAAGTCTGATTTTTAAATAGCATAAAGCAACGTCAGTTGTCTCCTAACACAGCTACTCATCTGTCAAGTTGTAGTAGGGAATCCAAGTCAGGATATGATTTCACAACAAGGTATGCTTACAGATCTTTCGATAACAGATGCTGGGTGCCATTTGCTTTGGGTATTGACACATCAGAGCTGTAAGTGTTAGTATTCTGCCAACCAGGACTGAAAGCAATCGGTGTTCCTCATACGACACTGTAGCTTGTTCCTAATGTCATCATTGCTCACACGAGAACAGAACGAACATGACATTTGCTGACACAAATGAATCAAAGATTAGCCACTTTCACTGACCGCACATAAAGTACCGGAGTGCTTGTTTAAGGAGTGACCCTCTGATTTCATCAAAGCTGTATTTATACAGTGGCTACAGTGAAGGCGTCCACATCAGGAGCACACACACTGCCCCAGCCTGCTCTGCACTTCTCCCTTGTATACAAACAGTTGTACTGTGGGGTTGCATGGCTAAACGGACTTGGGAATTAAACCCAACCTTCAAAACCAATGGAGAACATATCTGAACTTGAAGTAGGTCACATTCTCATCACGTCTAGTACACTCTGTTCCAATATACCAACTGTATGTTGAATTCAACTCCAAGAAAATGGTGTAGCTTGCAATAAACTAGCAATCCTACCCTTCCTGCCAAGAATCAGACGCTATTTTGCCTAAATACTGCATGAAACCCAATGCTTTTCCTTGTCATTCATAGTTTGTATTTTTTTTTACTGTACAAAGCAACACTGCTCAAAGAAAATTTTGCAAATGCTCAGAAGAGGAAAAACGGTAAGATCTGAATGTTAAACGGTTTTAATGATCTCTTAAAATTCACTTCCCCAGCTACTCTCTGTACAGCTTATTTACTGAGTCGTTTCTAATGTGCAACACACCTGGGTCCTGCGCACAGCACAGATAAATCACCACATTTTAGGGAGCGGTAAGAAGATTAAAGAGGGAGAAAGCTGGCCATTATGAAAGAAACAGGTTCAGTGCATTTTATTTTTTAAGCATGATACTGTGAAAAATGACTGGAATATTTCCAGAGTGAAAGAAATCAAGCAGGCGTCTAAAATTACAGGTAATGGTGTGCACGGAGGCTGCCGCATGATTGGGGTATTCTTTTGCCTCATAAACCGAAGAAAATGTGTTAAAATGAAGTACTATAAAACTGTGATTTATAAGAAGTGAGGGAGATATTCTTGAGCTTTGACTTTAAAATGTTATTTTTATATCCACTAAGATTTCATTTTAATCTATCTTTATGACAGATTAGATTTATTTGAGCCCGAGTTTATACGGCCTTGGTAAAACAGACCTTTTTAGGAGCAACAACCTGTAGAGCAATTTTCCCAAGTGTTCAGGTGATGGAGCGGTTCATCTCCACAGGTGAGGTTAAAGGTACATCGCTCCCACTCGCTCCTGCTTCGAGCTGCAGGAAGGACACCTCCTCTGACCTCACCTTCTGCCCACAAGAGAGAAACCAGGCCCAGCTGGTCTGATAACCGTGGGCATCCTGCTGCATGGCAGGGCCTGCTGCACAGAGCACTGGGAAAGGAAAAAGCTGAGAAAATCCAGGCTGCCTTGATTAGACCCTTCCCAGGAGAAGCTGAAGGTAGGAGGGAGAGGATGGGAGGAATAGGTGCTCCCATCGGGCTGATGGGAGCACAGCTGGATGGCTTCAGGTCAGCTAATATTTAAAAATAAGTAGGATTTAAATAAACCAGCTAAGGAGATTAGTGTCAGCTGTTGCGGCTGCCTGTACAGGGAATGTTAGAGCAGAAATATCTCCTCAGTAGTTTATGGTCTGAAGACACAATGCTACGGATTGGTGAAATTAAAAAAGAGAAAAAAAATTGCATCACGTTCAATTCAAACCCTCCATTCTGGAGGGTGCTAAGAGAAGAGGAGTTTGGTTGGATGCTGGTGATTGAAAACAAAAACCAAACCACACCATTTAGCCTGTGCTATTTGTTTCCATAGATATCATCCCAATCAAGGGAGAGAAAAATGTTATCTCCATAGCTGGCATGCAGAGGCACAGCTACATTTAGGGGTGTTGAAACTCTTCTATTTAAAAAGGCTCTTTTTCACTTGCCCATAATTGAAATTTTTCAGGCTGAAATTTTCCAGGCCTAATCATAGCCCAAGGGTGAAGTAAAAACATTTCATTGGTAGCTGCTGAGCGCTCAGCACTTCTGAAAATCAGGTCATTCATTTAGATGTCTTAATATATACTTAAGAGCTGATTTTAAACACCTTTTTTTGAACACATTGGCCTTACAGTCGATTTGTTTCACTCACTTATCAATGCCTAATTTATGATGATTTACACAGCTACCCCGAATTGGAAAATTCTATATCTCGTAGTTTATCCCTTCTCTATCATTTACATCTTTTTGATGTCAAGATTTTTCCAAGGTGAGAACTACAGCTGGCCAAACACAAATTACACAGCCATTACATTTTACAGGCTTCTGGGTTGCACAAAGTGAATTTTTAGGGCTAATCTCTAGCCCAGGCATATACCTAATACTGCTTCTGACAACATAAACCCTCCAGCTGTCTGAATCTGACTCCATTTCAGAGAACACAGAAATACAGTGACTTGCTTTAACAGCACTCCTGCAGGAGCACGGAATTTGGTGAACACCTGGAAATAATTAATTGCTACTTTATTTTTAAAATTGATTAGCATATGATTTAATTTAGTTGACCTTCATACGAAAATTCAGTGCTTACTCAGTGCTAATGAATTAAAATCAGTGCATTGTGCACAAGAAGTTTCCCATGATTACATACATAATGGGAGTTCACCCTTTATCTACGCTCAATCCATTTCTGTCTCTCATTTTCCTGTCAAAAAGCCCCACCACTCAGTCACGGTAAGCAGCAGTCGGCAGGATGGGTATCTGAGGAGATACACACTCAGGTGCACTCAGTCCATCTAAAATGAGTTGGAAGTCCCAGCACAATCTTGTGTGGAGAGGCATATTAGGCTGAGTGCAGCCTGTCTGATATGTGTTTTATCTGCTGCATAAACATTAATGACTTTAATCACTCTGTTCTGACTTCCACTACATAAAGAGGAGCATCTTGGCATTGAAATACTCTGTGCATAAAGGACCTACTTCCACATGCACAGTAATGAAGCACTGTGAAGGTGCTGCTGAGAGGTGTCAGCTCTCCCATCAACAGCTAATAGAAATGCATGTGAGTTTTCAAGGGTAAAATCACAACGTTTCTTTGCTGTATTTCCAGACAGTGGAGATAGAAACTTGGCACAGATGAGGAGAAGATACCTCTACAGCATAACTTCAGACATCTTGATCTTCTTATAATACGACTATTCTGCTTTTTTCCTGAGGACAGAGCACTCAGAAAACTCCATCTGCTCAAAGGCCGCACGCAAACTGGGCCCACATGAACTTTTTTTCTGGACAGTATCTCTTCTATTATGGATAACAGAAGAGAAATGTGCTCACAGGAATGTGGGACATGTAATTCCACAGTAGATTTTTATTTTTTAATCAGAGTTCCTGAAGGCATTATTCCTGCACTGTTCAGAAGATTTTATCATGTACCATATTTCTACGGTCTCATACTTTCTCCTCTCCTTGAAAGAAAAAAAAAAAAGAATTAAAAAAGATAAAGGAGGCTCAGATTAATAAAATATTAGAACTTCATGATTGGGAATGCGTTCCTGAATTGGAGTACAGGTTGGCATGAGACCTAACCTACCATTCTGTGCAAAGGACCTTACCAAGAAGTGTTGAGCCATGCCACCGTGACTGGCAGAACCCTGTTAGTGACAGTCTGCCTCTGGTAAATTCCATTCAGAGCTATGGTTAAGGTCATCAGAGAAATCATTTTAACCAAGGCAGAGAAACATCATCACTGTAGCTGGCATGCGGAGCCTCAACCTTCAGACTGATAGGAATCAGAATCCATTTTGAACAACAGCACATTTTAAAACCATGCAGAAGTATTTCAGTGTGTTCACTATTTTCCGATCCCAGAAATACATGTGAAAAAAAAGTGGAAAAATTACTAATTGACGATGGTTAGAGTTGAAATAGCCATTTCAGGGCACTCACCAGAACTGACATTAGAAAGGCTGAAGAACTGCGACAGCAAGCTTGGAAACCGCCTGTTCTGATTATTTTAAACCATGCATTTTGGAAGAATATAGCCTGTACTCCTTTGCCATAAATCTCTTTTCCCAGTAATTAGGTGAAAGAATTGGAAAACTGTAATTTCTTTCAATGCCTCACATCCAGTTCATTAAGTTGAAGATAAACGGCAGAAAAGAGTGCACTCCAGAACCTGGCAGGTTTTAGCTGCGTTAACTCAGTGGGCAAACAATTTGAAGGCTGAAATTTATTTCAGGAGCAGCAGGTGTTTTCAGAAGCACCAGAATTTTGTAAAATTGCCATTTCCTAAACAAGTAGCAAGTTTTTTGTAACAGCAGTATTCATGCGATAATAATCCATATGCTGTCATAATCCAAAAATCTGAAAACACCCAATGCAAACCACGGCCTGGTAGATGCAGTGGTTTCAATGCTCAAAAACCTTGGTTAGATTCGTAGAATTATTAAGGCTGAAAAAGACCACTGAGATCACCTAGTCGACCATCAACCACCCCCACCATGCCCACTACCCATGTCCCTCAGTGCCACAATCCACCCTTTTTTGTTCCAACACCTCCAGGGACGGTGACCCCACCACCCTTCCTGGGCAGTCTGTGCCAATGCCTCACTGCTCCTTCAGAGAAAATATTCTCCTTCTACTGAGCTAATTAGCAGATACAACCCAAAACAGGATCTCTTTCCAACTGTTCTTTTTGTCTATTAGTATGAGTTTTCAAACAAGATATATAGAGGTGGATCTGTTTCACTCCTTTTCCCCTATCAATGCTTTCTCCATCCTATCCTTGAGGAGAAAGGCATCGAAGAATGGTCCTGTCCATTTCGCAGGGCACTGTTTCTTCTGCCAGTCTCTCAAGAGAAGAGGGGAAAACATGATTCTCTTAGAATATTAAAGGAAAAGCGAAAGGCATAACACAAAGAAAGCTGCTTTCCTGAGAAGATGAAACTAAGTACAAAGGGCCAAACGGGAGTAGTTTAACAATGATTAGATTAGCTATCAGAAGGCATCGACTTTGTAGTAATGAACAAGCACTTAAAGCAGTAGCGAAATTTTTGGAGTTCTGGTGAAGCTGCAGACAACATCCTAACCCAAAAACCCACCGCAGGCCTCACACTACAAAACGTCAAAACCCACACAATGGGAGATCGTATAGATACAGTATACGTAAAAAGGCCAAGTGTCAGCGAAGAGAGAAAAATGAGTGACAGGTAATCACCAGCTATGCTGGGACTGAACCTATTACTATTCCTGCCTCAAACTAGCCTTGCTATGACCTTAATCTGAAGATATCAATAGCAAAAGCCAGCACTCTGGCAAGGGTTTGAGGGCTTTTTTCCCTGCAGTATCAATCAACCAGTTGAGAGAGCACTTAAATCAACCTGCGCCAGGCTTTGAACTCATAATCAGGTAAGTATGTGGGCTCTCTAGCATGTTCCTTTGGAACAAAATGGCAAGATCTCGCACCCTGTCACACTTATCTAGAAAAATGAGAAGAGAGTCAAGCAGCGACACTGAATTAAACATTAGATCTTTTAAAATAAATAACTTAATGGATGTTAATAATTATGTTATCTCAGTGAAACGCATTAAAATTTTCTATTAGTCTTCCTTAGCCCATCTTTCTGATAGGCGGTATTTATTACAGATAGCATAACTCCTGTTTTGAATTACCAGTAGCGAACGTTTTATAAATCACCCAGGCTTTTTCCTGACGCACCCACACAAAAATGCCAAAAACCAGAGAGCGGCACAAGCAATTAATAGCATGATATCGGAACAGTATCAAAAACAGCACGTCTGTGCACTGGCTCCTATCTGTAAACCAACAGTTCCATCAGAAAAATCTCAGCTTGAAGCATTTAAATTAGATCATCCCTCTTTCTTGTTTCCTAAACTCCCCAACATTTGGCCCCGTGACACTTTTAAATATTTATCACAAACTAAATGATCTGAGTGCCCAGCACAGCCTGCACAACATAAACATTACTTTCTCCTTCTCAATTATGACTTCATCTCCTTCTGTCTCCTCTTGATGTGTTTATAGCTATTGTGTTTTTCTTTTTCCCCATCAGGAGAGCTCTGAATAGGAGAGCTAACACCGTGGAGATAGATCTGCACATTCAACTTTACACACGTGAATAATCCCAGCGAGTGCAAGCTCCAGGCTTATTTCTGATATGTCGTGTATGATACTGTAGCATTACCTCCATAAGAAGGAAAATTGTTGGAATTCATGGCATCTCTCATCAGCACAACAGCTGGTGCCAAGTAGTTTTATTACAAAGACTTTTGTAAATCAAAATCCAAGTATGTACCTATTTCTGTATGGTTTAACTGTGATTTTAGCAATTTCCAGACAAAGGAAAACACGGCTTTGTGAGTTGTCCTCTTGGGTTTGGATATTTTGCAATGCAATTTACAATCTGTACCTTTATCCTCACTAGGCTTTGCTTCTTCTGATGATGATAGGCTGGCTACAGCGGAAGGTTTTGTCTCATCTGTAAGAACCAAAGAAATGAAAGACAAGTTATTCATTAGCTAGCAATCCGATGAACTGGTTTACTGAGGGGAAAAAAACAAGTGTTACACTTTATTGGAAGCATGATACAATGCTTGAATGTGATTTTTTGGGCTTCCATCCATTCTCATTGTGCTCCCTGACCATTACTGGTTTGACTGTCTTCCCTAAGCCAGGGGTAAACTTCCATTGCAATACTGCCAGATCAAATCTGTACCTCAACATCCCGTAATAGAGAGAGGAACAGCTGCCAAGTTTGTGGGCAGGCTGCTGTTCTCTTTGCTTAAATATTTCTTTTTTTTATTTAATGTATTTATTTGGGGAAAAAAACACAAGCCATTCTTTAATCATGTCCAATAGCCCCACTGGAATCAAAATCATTAAATGCAAATGCCTTCCTGAAAACAGAATCTTTCTTGAATCAGATCTGAAACTTAGCAAGTCTGTAAAAATCTGTGGTGCATAGCTGTTTAATGGTAGGGCACGTGCTGTTAGAACTGTGATCTTTAATAGATAAAAATTAGTAACTGAATTTAATAGTGTATTTTTTCACTGCTGCTGCTTCTCAGCAATCTTTGCAATTTAAAACCTTTAGAAACCTGTTTTCATTTTTAGCCTTTCACTTCTTTCTTAAGACTTGCCTCTAGTTGTTCTTTTTTCACCTGGTCTAGTTATTGAGTATTTTTAACTAGCTTGAAGTTGGAGGACTGAATCACCTGCCATTTTGTTTTCCTTGTGTTAATTGTGAGGCACACCGATGAAAGGATAGAGGACAGATTACTAGAAAAACCAACAACACTGTAATAGCCAAACTATTCAAGGCCAATCCTTGTACGCTATAATTGGCTTTTTCATCTACTCTGTAATAAGAATGTATAAATCTTGAAGTAATGACTATGTAAGAGCACAGTTTATTTTTGCTTCTCATACGCTTTCTTTTACGATAGTAAAGTAATGATTTGTGATTTGTCACACTCAGATGAAGGTTATGCCTTTTGGTTTAGAAAATACAAATTAGAACTTTAGTATTTGAATGGCTTGCTCCTCACAATTATCCTTTATAATGATTAGAAATGGGCATACAACTTCAGGCATACAGCTGTGTATCTTAAAAAATCAGCTCATTTCCTACCAACAAGGAAGGGTTCAGAAGCAGCAACCCTAAAAGTTTCTGATGATGTTTTGTCTCCGCAGTTGAAAGCGGAAAGCAGGAGCAATTCATCAGCTGAACATTACTTACTCAAGATAATTGTCTGCCTCTCTGTTCTTATCACTAGGTGAACCAGTAGGGCTTCATGTTAATCCAAGTCATTTCTTTCTGTAACGCTGTGTGCCTGTGGCTGAGGAAGTGATTCACGCAGTTTGTGTAGGCACAGTGCTATCTTTAGGTGCATGCCTAAAATGAGTTCAGAAAATGTTCTGGATCTGGGACCTAAATAAAGTCTGGATCTTTTCTTTGACACTCTTCATTAGAGTAACAAGACATGACTACCAATATGAGATAGCACAGGAGTGTACATGATATCTCCCCAATAAACTAGGCCTGACAGCTTGTAACATAGAAAGTCATAATGACAGCTTTGGAAGAAAACACAATGCATTTAGCACACCTACAGTAGCAAAGTAATAATTAAGAGAAGCGCGTTCCCCTTACTTCTCTAGGGAAAAAGGAAATGTATCTCATTCAATCCAGCAGCTTTGCAAATCAAAATACCAAGGAAACTTACATCTCATCAGAGTCAATAGAGTAGACAAGTAAAACAGGATGTATTTGGCAACTACAGACAGTAATACAACTGGGTTTCAGTGAATCCCTGCAACTGGAGTAATCCTGAGGTAGTACTTGATATAGTTAAAAGCTCAACACTGCTTGAGCAAAAATATCCCCCTGCCTAGGAAAAGGTCAAAAAAACACAGCCTGGATTCAGACAGAACAACTTACGACTACCGCAATGGTAAAAACCCAGGAAAGTCAACATGGTTATCTCCTTCAGCACCAAAACAGAATCACAGAACT